GATGATGCCCACGACTAAGCAGGCGAGCAAGAAGAGGCCGCGGGTGGTGGATGAAGGATCGAATATCGCTCTTTCGATGCCTAGCTTGAAGATCATGCACTGCTCAGGAGGCGATGGTGAGGGGATGTGAGCACAGGGCGGTTGTATAGCAGCTAGAGGATTAGCGAGCGACAGCTCTCACCAACGTGACAAGAGCGAACCAATAGAACCTGGGGTAGGAAGCGCGCGTTAGCGCTCCGTTCACGCCTGTTTTCCGAGGCAGCAAAACACCTGGCAACTGAACCATTAGCGATCCACGGCCAGCGACTCCGGATGCAGTGGGCGCCAGATTGGTCATTCCCGAGTTACCACATCTCGGCTTTTGGAGACTCCGACCATCTTACGAGCTGGCGTGACAAGTCGGAAGTAGATTGGTCTGACAGCGCGGCGAAGCTGATGCGATTGGCCCTGCATGGCCTCTGAGCCGATCACATTGCAAGCACCACAGCGAGCACGAACGCGGTATCCCTGCAACCGCAACATCCATCATCACGCGTACGCAAGACGGCGCTGCTGCTGCTGACGATGACGAGACACCGGCCAGCGCTGTGAGGCGCTGAGCTATTGTGATCGAAAGAGCGAGACCGGCGATGAGCAGGGCAGGCGCGGAGATATGTCACCTCGGGTCCAAAGTGCCAAGCCAAGTGGGATTGCAATTGAGACGCGAGGCTGTGATAGCGCGCGCGGTGGATGCTGAGGGGCAACGGCGTGGAGATGCCTTCATCTTGGCAGGTCTATCGCAGCATACAGCGCAATCCTGCGGTGTCCGCGCTCAGACCCGTGACCCTTGCCATTTGATTGCCAAGCTCAGCTCTCCGTGCGCATCGATGGTGGTGGTCGCTGCACACGTGTTGGCAGCGAAGAGGCCCGGGGAGACAGGCGCAACTCGCTCGCATCGTGTGAGGCAGTCGTGAGTTGAGATCCAATCCCGCCGGCCCGCCGCGGCTTATGTAGCAAACAGCACGCGTGCCACGCACGGGCTAGGGCAAGCTTGCTGTGGTACTCACGACTGGTGCTGTACCGGTACTTTACAGCGCCGTAAACCTCTCTCTCTCTTTGTCTTCCCTCCCCCTCTGCTGGCTGTCCATGCTTGCTTGCCTGGTGCGTCCTTTAGCCTCTCGCGGCTCAGCCATACGCGCGCTCTCCATCGCTGCTGCAAGCGACCAACCCTCGACCGCGGCTTCGCATCATCTGATGCTACTCGTGACTCTTGCCATCCACATTCTGCGTATACGCATCGCCCGCGGCCTGTATCGCTTTGACCTTCCTCACGACGACCTTCAAACACCCTTCGCATGGCATCTTGTCTACTATCGCTGCCGTCCCCCGGTCCCCCCCCTTCACTGCGCAAAGAGCCTATACTGCTCACCCCGCATTGCGGCAAGCCACCCATATTGTACGCCCCTTGGCACCGCGTCTGCGCAGGACTGTGCCTGGTCTGCTCATGCCATGCCATCCATGATCCTCCCGTGTCTGCTCTCGATCGAGTGCTCCCTCCGCTCTATGCTTTCGCAACGATCGATCACGCCCGCACGGAATCCGAGATGGTGCATTGTACGAGCCTGACTCACGCGCTGACAGAGTAAAGTATCCATCGCGATCGACTGGCGCGCACAGCCAGTGCACCTCCAGTGATGATCATCACCACCCCCAACACGCCAAAAGCGGCGTCGATCCTCGTATTGAGGGGCAGGTCGTCCGAGGAAGCGGCCATGCCTGCGTCGCCATCCGCCGTGCTCGAGGGAGTCGGTGCGCTGGTACTGGCTGTTGAAGATGGGCTCAATGTAGTCGTGTAGATCGTGTAGGTTGCCCATACGGATCCCGTTGATGGTGCGCCGGTAGGTCGGGGCTGACCAGAGCTCAGCGTGGTTATGTAGCTGGATGTGAATGTTGTTGCCTGTGCGGACGCAGAAGCGGAAGCGGAGGCGGAAGTTAGAGAAGGTAAGGGTGAAGTTGTGGAGCTGACGCTCGATGAGGGACCGGGGTCGCCACTCGGACTCGAGGTCGGCAGAGGCTCTCGTTGAGGCTGAGGGCGTGCTTGCACAGCGACGAGCAGGATCAGCGGAAGGATGACACCCGCACCCGGGATCCCATGGCGTAGCCAAAGGCACCCATAAGCGGTGACCCTCATTTTGACGAAGAAGCGCGCGTCGTCGCAATCAAAACCAAACAAGGTGTGAGGGCAAGCTCGGTAGTAGGTGTTTGGAGAGGGGGGGATGGGAGACAAAGCCGGAAGGAGAGTCATTCAATCATGAATTAGCTTGGTCTCAGCGATGCTGATTTTGTGGCAGAGGCGACAAATCTGATACACACACGATGGATGCTCAGCAGTCGCATAGGAATGTGAATGGGCCTTTGCGGTTATCACGCGGTAGACACGTATGGAACATCTCACGCCGGAGAGTCAACATCGTTGCTTGACATGTGTGTCTCAAACATCTCAACGGAAAGCCGCGCTTCCAGGTGCATGTACAGCCGTTGGACTTGAGGCGCAGCCACAACGTCGAACAACAGCACCCGGATCATGTAAGTGAGATCCCGGCAATGACTCTCCTACAGGGATCGATTCGCGCCTTAAAGTCCGAGTCCGTCTCTGACACAGCATCCATGAAGAAATACGAATGGCATCTCGTGAGCCTTTACCCGAAGCGGCCGGGATGGTGACGTGTGAGAACAGTCAAGGTCAAAAAGTGTCACGCATTTGACCATATTCATCATTTGACTTTGACGCTTTACCACCCTCCTCATCTCGGCGGAGCAGCTGAGGGGAAGTGCCGTGTCGGGCCGCGCAATCATTGAAGCATGTAAGGCTGCTCGCACACTCATGGCACCGTCTTGACGAGATTGCGATGCCAGGTGTTCGTGGATGCGGGTAGCTGCCCCAACGGCAGCGTCTTGTGCCGTCGAAAAAAGTCAGACCAAGTAAGTGTCTGGGCAACCGTCATTAGCTGTCACAAGTCACGAACGTCGATGTGGAGGGAAGCTGTTCCATGCATCAGTATCAACGCTTAGCCATCACCTACCTGACGTACCGTACCAGTCAGAGTCTCGGTACGGTACATACGGTATCCATCCATCCATGCTCCACTGTCCTGACGCGCGCCAGCAGTCAACGGCTTGCAAGAGCGTTCGCGCGGACCGCGTACTCACGACGGATGCAGCCGCAAGGGGACGCGAATCCGCCGGTCTGCTTAGGCCCCGCAGCAGAAGCGTGAGGTGTGTAGCTTGCCTAATCATTCTTACGCAGCTCCAGGATGCTCTATATGGATCGTGAATCGGTACTGGGCGATCAGCACAAGCACGGGAGGGATCCTTCACGCAGTGGACAAGGATACAGTCAAGATTAGCCAATCGCGATAGTGGTTGTGGACCGAAACCAAAAATCTGAAAGCTTGAATTTTGAATCTGAGTTTGACAGAGTCCTCCTCACCCGTGCACAGTCTTGACTTTTTGACTGAATTTGGCACGCGTGGTCTACTTGTATTCTTTATTGATGATTGGTCCTGCAGGGTCTGTATTCGCTTTGCCGCGTTCCGAATCTTGAATCAAGAATGGTGAATACAACAATCAAGAATGCCTCCCCGCGCAGCAACAGACATGAACGCGGGTGGGCCGGATCGCCGCGCGCTGATGGACGCCTATGCATGTATTCGCCATGCCCGGCTTTGTATTGGGCCCGCGGAGTTCGTATTGACTTTGCCGAGCTCCTACTCATGACTACTACAACAAGGAGGGAGAGAGGATTTCAGTTTGAATCTTGAATCTTGAATCAAGAACAGTCATGCTCAAAGTCACGAGAGTGCGGCCTGCTGGGCGCGCGCAAGAGTCGTTGGCGCGTGTGCCTCCACAGGTCCCCGCCATTCCGGTTCTTGTTTCTCCACTCACGTCAATCTTCCGAACGATGACCACAGTTGAATTTCGCTGTCTATATACTGCACAAAGCATCAGATTTGCACCCCAAGTCTTTTCCTAAGAGCAATCGCTCATCACAACCTACGTTGACGCTCAGCCGACTGACAACCTCCCCAATCGTGCAGGATCGGCCGTCTGCGATATCGCAAGAACGTTGAACTCGCCACACGTCGGCGCCCTGCCTGCAACATGGCGGACAAGGAGAATGCCAATCCGATCATTCACGCCCCATCGGGTAGCACACAGCGTCGCAACGAGGGCAAGAAGGACGGCTACTTGCTGGGTTCCATTTCGCTTGCAGGCGGCAATGAATGGTGGCGGGATCCTGCTGTGCACGATACGAGCTCCGGCGGACTTGGCAGAGGCTTCGCAGATGGTTCAGATGAGCTTGAAGATGGACTGGCAGGGCCAAATGCGTTTGGAGGTGCGGCACTGGCTGAAGAAAGACAGGGCATCGACGCGCTCGAAGTCTTCGGTGAGTCTCCGAATCGTTGGGATCGGGTGCGGGATACAATTTATTGATTCGATTCCTGCACCCACTCCTTTCGCTCAACACATTGCCAGATCTCATACGCTCAGTGTCCGATCCTGAACATCCGCTGACTCTTGAGCAGCTCGCAGTGGTGCAAGCTCAGCATATCAAGGTGGACGAGGGCGATCCAAAGACCGGTCGTTTGCCCACCGTTTTGCTCGAATTTACGCCAACCATCCCTCACTGCTCCATGGCCACACTGATCGGTACGTGCTACAACCAGCGGAAGGCTTGCTGATCAGGAAGCTGTTTCGCTGATTCGGCTCATGGCTCTCGTGTGTCCTCTGCAGGTCTTGCGCTGCGAGTTCGCTTGCTGCGTGCATTACCTCCACGCTACAAGGTGGATATCCAAGTGCGACCAGGCACGCACCAGAGTGAACGCGCAATCAACAAGCAGCTCAACGACAAGGAACGCGTAGCTGCTGCTCTGGAGAACAACAGTCTTCTTAGCGTTGTTGGCGACTGCCTCAGCACGGCGCGGAGGAGAGGTCTGGATGAGGCGGAAGCCCTCAGGGAGGCTGAAAAGAG